TTTTTTTTCAGGCATCCCTTTCCCAAATTGAACCAGGATGCAAGTTCGGTTTTGGCTCTGGATATGGCACAAATGGACCAATAGAAGCCTTATGGATCTCTTTCGGTGATTAATAATAAAAATAATAAATGTTTGCTTTTTTCAGGCATAATAAATAATAATACATTTATCTAACATTCTAGGTTTCTCTTTTCTATGTCCATTTGGTTTTCACGTCTTTTCCAGTTTTGTCATCATTAATTTAGACATTGGACAGCATCTCTCATCTCTTGCAAACTGGTTCTCGCTCTGGAGATAGCCACAAATGACTGGAAAAGTTTAAAAAATGGGGGGCTGGAGTCAAACTGGCTCTCCTATGAGAAATAAATATGGGTTATTTTGTTTGTATGATGCACATTTTTCTGTAAAAAATTGAATATGCGCAGTTTTGCATCAAATTTATCGATATTATAGTCATACGGCAATTATTAGTTTAAAATTGGAAGGTTTCACGCGAAAAAGTTACGTTGAACATGACCGCTTCCCAGAAACACCCCTTATCTAATAACCGCTTTCAATGCAATCGTAGGTACGAACTGAGCGATTCTTTGAGAGCACGTTGACGTGTATTTACAAACAGTTGACCAGTTGATGTCACAAGTACCGCCATCTTGAAAGTAATCGTTTTCGCGCGAACGAAAATAATTTGAAAAATATGATTGTTCCCTATTGAGAAACAATACAAAACCGAATGTGGGGGGCAAGGTGGGGGGCCCAACTTGAGGGAGCCTTCTCCCTCCATGTTGCAATTTGCCAATTTCACTTCACTTGCACGCAACGTTCCAAGGTTCAACAAAACCGAAAATAAGGCTGTGGTCCGAATATAACCATGGTTGTGGTTTCGCGGTCCGAAAGTGATCAAATTACTCTGGTACCTGGAAAAGTGGTTACTTTAGGACGTTGGCTTCCTGAAATCTGGTTAACCAAATGTCAAAATAGTTACCGACTATCGGATGTCGGTTCTGTTGGTTTTATCTGTAAATTCTGTCAACTATTTTTTATTTCATATTCGCGTTCCTTAAGTAACCAGAATTTTCAGTAACCATCTGTCAGCCGGATCGGTTACTTTGGTTAACATTTGGTTATATTCGGACCATAGCCTAAATTATGACTTGCTAGAGCACTCTCCCAACTTGTTTAGGGCCGGTTTCTCAATAGCGAGTCACCCCCGGGCCGGGTTGGTTTTAACTCCAGGGCAGGGTTAACGTGTCAAATTGCAATGTTTACCCTGGAGTTAGCTTAACCCAGAGGTGACCTGTTACCTGCTATTAAGAAACCCCATAGATGTTCAAGCGATTTTTGCCGCAACCGCGCTTCCCGTCAATTTTGCGACTTGCTGGGAGAGAACTGTCGGAAACTTTGCTATCGGACACTGTTTACATTCAGCAAATTCTTTGGAAGTACTCTCGGACATAAACTTGCGATAGTTGCTCGTGTAAACTACGCTTGTATCATAATTGAGACTCGAAGTTAGATAGGGTGAAAGTACCTGTTAGCCGGCCACCCCCTGTTGTCGGACACTTTACGACAAAATATCCAATAATTAGGAAATAGTTATTTATGCACCTAGGTCAAAAAGTACAGCTTTAACGCCCGCCGCGTGTGTAACAGCCTGAGGCGTCAGCCGAGGGCTGTTTACACGCTGAGGGCGTTAAAGCTCTTTTTGACTGAGGTGCATACAAGATTTTATGCACGATGAGCATGTTTTTTCATTTTGATATTTAAAAAATTATATATTTTCAATTTTGTAATGACATCAATCAAAAATATTTCAAAATATAAATTTTCATCTTTACCGCAATAGGTCCTAAGTTTTTGTCAAATTTAGATCAAGGAAGCAGTTGTTGACAAAAGTATCACGTAACTATTATAGCAACCCAGAACAATACAAACAAATAATTATATGCTGTGTAGTGTACATGTATGGTATTCTTATGATGGTAGTGCGTCTGAAAATGGAGCAAAATAGCATGCCCAAGTTTATTCTTGAGGTAGTTGAAGAGGCCAAGAAACATGAATACCTTCAAAGTCCAAAAGACTTTATGAAAAAACGTATGAGGACTTTATTTCCTGATGTGCCCAACATAGTGTAAATGAGCAGCAGTACTTTGTAGAAGAAACTCTCCTGGCCTGGCATATATATTATTAATATGAAAAATGCAAAAAAAAATAAACCATCCACCCTACGGAGCTTTTACTACTCAATGTTGAAGGCAACAGTTCTTTTGTGTATTTCTGTGGAAAAGGGCCGGTTTTAAAAGTTAAAAACTGTAAAAATTGTATTTCCAATTTCAAAGTAGATTCAATTTTACCATTATTGCTATTTCATTATTCTTATTAATTGAAATAAAGCTTGTTTTGTTGAAAAAAGTTGGTATTTTTTGGACTAAGCAATAGAAATATAAAAAGTTTTTAAAAAAATGATGAGTTTTTGTTTATTTTTGAAACTTTCAGGCCCGCGGGCATAAAAGGCGCCCTAGGGCGTAAAAGTACTACTTCACGCTTTAAAATGCGGGCGTAAAAGTGCACTTTTACGCCCGTTCGTGCATAAATATTATATCAAACCCTTTTTTAAAGTAATACCTACTTTCAGACACTATTTCCCCACCAGTTTTTGTAATACCGCCCTCTTTACGGGCCTAGACCAAATTAAGAAAAATAATAATATGTCGGCTGTTATTCCCAACACAGCCCTTTTGATCAAGTGAAAAAATTTGCTAGTGTGAAGCTAAGAAGGAAATAGTAAGTAAAAATGTCCCTACTCCATTTTTCGATACTTTCTTGATGTTTTTAAGTTATAAACATGTTAATTTACAATTATAACCATAAAAATTAAATGAATATTAATATTTTGTTTATTTTATTAAATGTCCGAATAACCAGTCCTATAAATCGGCAGACTCCTCTTCTCGGCCACTCTGTCCGACAATTGGTCTGGCACGTTGAAACTATATGTATCTTTTTCTAGCCTATTTGATTTTCAACTTAATTTTCCTTATTAGATACATTAGACGACTGTATCGAGATTCTATGGAATCAAAGCGATTCTCCTGGAACTGAGAAACCTGATAAAACAACAGACATATAGGACTGGAGGCTCAAAAAAAACTCTCATTGAACTGACAAATGTTGCCGTTGTTGTAAGTCCTTTCAGTCGCCACCTCCAATTTCCGGAACCTATCAAATAAGAGCCAAGAAAACAAAAAAAAAGGGAAATTATCAAGTGCAATCTCATCGAAGGCATGGAGATTATATTATGAAAGAAAGGAACAAGAAAAAGAAAAAAAAACTTGAAGCACAAAAAAAGAAAAAAGAGGAAAGACTAGAGAAACAAAATACCAAAATAAGTGCAAACAATGATGGAAGAAAAAGAAAATTGACTAAAAATTCCAAAATAAAATATTGGTTGTGGCAAGTGCCCAAACTGGTACCATTTAGCATGTACTAGTTTATGTGGACGAAAAAAGGTATTTCTCGGACACGCGTCCGACAACGGGTCCTTTTGTGTCCGAGAAATGTGATGATTGTCCGACAACAGGCAAAATGCATGTTTTTTGAATAAAAGCATTTTTCTATAAAAATACAAAACCTTTTAGCCTTTTTTGTTGCAGCAATCAATTTTATATACTATAAGGTATCATAAAACATTATTTAAATTCGCTCCGCTCTATCCACTGATTTTCAATCGCCACTTTATTCCAGAATTTGCCTTAAGTGGCCGACAACAGGTACTTTCACCCTACCTACAATTCGCATTTGCCATGATGTCAGGATTTATCTAACAAAAAAAAAAGAATGAAAATTTAGATGAAGGCAATTTTTAATCATACCGAATATTTATTGAACATTAGTGAGCCTCTAAAATAATAACCAATTTATTAAAAATAAGTTTACCCATTAAAATTTGACACACTTTTTCATTTCCATAAGAGCCTAGCAGTCGGGTCGGGTAAGAAAAGGACGCTAGATTGCTAAATAATTTCAAAACGCTTTAGACAAAGACAGAAAATGGGTCTGTTCCTACAAGAGTCCTCAACAGTTTGCAAATTGCCATTATTTTTATTTTTATTTGTCGTAAACAATGAAAATTGATTTTTATAAGCTACTTGGCTCTATTGACTTGTGAAATTGATAGCTGAACTGTAAATAAAATACTCTTTGAGTGCTGTCATTTTTAACTATATATTTCTAATAATCTAACTGTCGCAGACTCTTCTGTGAACAGGCAAAAGTCTGTTCATTCCTAAAACACCCAACCAAACAACTTGATTGTGATTGGCAGAAAACGATCAGCTATTGGTTCTATTGGTTAACTCATAATTCGTTTGGGTTTTTATAAAGTTGTTTGAACAAACCTAGCATTCGACCGGGACCGAATTAGTGATGTGACATCGGTGCTCAGACATCGATGTTGAACATCGGTTGCGATATCGCTCAATACTATCGATGTCAATAAAACATCGATTGAAAAATATCGATGATTTGAAACATCGATGTTCAATGTTGAGACTACATTTCTCTGGTTACTTTTTGGTGTTTTTGTAAAAATACTGATTGAAAACTCATTAACATTTATAGAATAAAGATACAAGACAAAAATAAACATTTTTCTGAAAGAAAAGCAAAAACACGAATAAATAATTACAGCATGAATAGGAATCAAATGATATAAACACCAAAACTCCTCGAGTTTCCAGAAAGTACGACCTACAACAAACTGCAAATAACAAGGCTGATAATTTTTTCCTTGCCCTTTCAATATATTTCTTTTCTGAGTGTAGGTTTGGCGTACTTTTCACAATATCCAATATCGATAGTTCAAACATCGATATGTCGATGTTTTGTAACTTCTGACATCGATGCTAAAACATCGAATATCGAAGGCAATAACATCGATGTTCACGATACATCGATGTTCAAGTCCCATCACTAGACCGAATTCGGTCGAAGCATGCGCCCTCTATACTCGTTGTTGGTTGTCATGCAGGGCGTTTGCAGTGTTGGTTAAGCTGAAGTTATTTAGGTGGAAATATTCAGGATATTTGATAATAATTGTGGAAAAAGTGAGCCTAAAAGGAGCAGCTAGTACTATTTCAATAAGGTAAGTCGAATTTCTGTCAGTGGGTCACGTAAATTCGGCAAAATTCGTACAAGTTCCCCGACCACTTAGCACAAAAATGGCCGCTTTTAGGTGTAACCGATTTGAATGATTACAAAATAGGGTTGAATTGGGGCCTTTTAAACCACCCCGTTAAGTAATAATCTCGTCCTAGTTGTTAATTGATTTTTGGCTTAATTGGAAAGATTCATCAAAGTTGTCCTGCATGAATGATCAACTACTAATGAAGTAGGTGTCAAGTGTTTTAGAAAAACAAGCCCTAAAAGTCACTGAACTTTCAGTAAGTTTTCAGTTCACAGGGGAAATGGAAATTGGAACAATTCAATAGCGAAATTCAAGAATGTTTGTTTATTTGTATTTTGTTTTTTTTTAACGCCCACGCATTTTTGGGCAAAAGAAATCAATTTTCATACACAAGGAAAATAATTTGTGCTATTTTTAAACTGTTGGCCCGAAAATTTTCGTTTTATCATCCCATTATCAGTTTTTCAGGTTCAAAGGAGTCAATTTGTAAATTAAATACAATCGTTACTAATTTATTATTGAGTACCTAATAATAACATAATCATTTTTGTGCTCTCTCGAATATTATAGTTGGTGAATCATTTCTTTTTTTGTAAAGTGGCCGTCCTTGGAACAATTCACATGGTTTTTATTTGAAAAAAATTGTTGTAGTTTAGCATGATAGAAATAAAGTTGCATGTAAACTGGACAATAGGGTCAAAAGCAAAAGAATAAATTTGTGTACTAAGGGCGGTTATTATAACTTCTGCAATGACCTTGATATGTAACATCATTCCAGAAGTTAACTTTCAGTTATCTGTCAAAATAGTTTTATAATATCCACTGGAATGGTGAAATTTTGGCTAACCTCATAAGTAGAGTCCGGATTTCAAGGCATTATGCTTTTTGTTAATATTACAAGCAAATATAAGACGACTCAAAATATTAACGAATTAGACAAAAACAATGTCGAAAATGCACTGTTTTTAATGCTTATTTTGCTTTTTTCAAGTTTTATGCTTATTTTATGGTTTGTGCTTATTTACAGCCTTTTTTAGATTTTTTGGACTGCAAAAGTATATTATATCGCACACGCACACTCTCAGATATGGTGTCATTTTCTGGGGTAACTCTACATACGCCGAGAGAATACTTGTTCTGCAAAAGAGATGTCTTAGAACAATTTTAAAACTAAATCGCAAACAAAGCTGCAAAGCAAATTTTATTCAGTATAAAATTCAGACAGTCTACAATATCTATATTCAGGAGAGTATTGAATTTGTTATAAAAAATCCAGATCTATTTGAAAACCAAAGAATCGAGCACAAATATTACACAAGAAAAAAGGATAATCTAAGAACAGATATACCTCAATTTAGTTATTTACGAAAAAATATAACTTTTAATATTATAAAAATATGGAACTCTTTGCCTATCACACTGAGACAAATGCCTAACAGAAAAATTGCGGGAAAAATTAGGTTGCTTCTGGAAAATCGTGCCTACTATAGTGTTAACGAATTTTTCGAGGATAAAAATAAATCAATTTTCTTGAACTGATCTAGACAGAATGCTCTGACCAATTTTTTGGATATCTTCATGTGTGTTTATGTTATTTTCTCGGTTATTTTATCATTAAATTTTTTTTTTTTTCCTATGTCTTCGTCATAAAAGTCGCATACCTAATATTTTAGATGCTTATTGTTACAAGCTTGTATGTGCATATGTTAGTTTTAATCTTGCAGTCTAATTATTTTATTTTATTAATTATTATTTTTTTAATTTGTTTGTCTATTTTTTTTTATATTGACTTGATCTACACCTGAAAGGGTACAAAATGTATTTTTATATTTTAAAGAGATCAAATAAAGTGAACTGAACTGAACTGAACATATCAACGTGAAATAAAATAAACAAACTTCCTGTCTCGCGAGTCTCGCCCGCTATGTTTCTTTTTTTTAAAATCGATAATACGCGGGAAACCCCAGCCCAAAAATCAATAAATGGTACTAGTTGCAGGTAGGAAGTACTGACTTAAGGCGAGTTTATTTCACCTTGTAATAAACTGTCAGGCATGCAATCTGACAAATAAAAACACATGCAATCTGTAATCTCATCGGTCGACCAGTTATCCGCTGACCAATAGGATTAGAGAATGGTAAATTTATCTTGCAAATAGTTACCAGCAAGTTTATCTGAAGATGAATAAACCGGGCCTAAGAGTTACAAATGAACCCATGTGTGGTTGCGAAATTTAAATACGCGCCCATAACAAGTGCTGAAGTAGAAGGAAGTTTTTCCAACTACAAAAACATTTTAAGTGACACAAGACTAAACTTTATTATGGAAAATTTAAATCAGCATTTAGTTATTGCTTGTTTCTACAAGAACTATTTTCTTTGTTGTTCATTAGAGACTTTGTTTTGTTTATTTCAATGTTTATAGTTACCTATTATATTTTTTATCATGTATTCTATAGATAAACAATAAATTTTTTCCGCAAACGTCAAAAAATTACGACTTTTTTAACCTCAATTCTTAATGTTGAAGTTTGACTTCACAGACGTCATTTTTTTGGTTACTTTTTTGTCCGCGCGTTCCGTGAGCGTACAAAAAAGTACTTTTTCTACTACCGTGCGTAAAGTACTCACTTTACGCACTATTCAGAAGATGTAAAATTTCACTTCACGCACTAGTGCGTAAAGTAATTCACTTCACACACTAGTGCGTAAAGTAATGTCAATGACAGATGTCAACACTGTCAATTTGGCTAGTGCGTGAAGTGAAAATTCTTCACGCACTAGTGCGTAAAGTATTTGTCCAAATTTATTTTTTTACACATATTTGATTGGTAGTAGAAAAAATTTTGTATGCGATACGTGCGTAAAGCACCTTTTTTCACTCATGTGATTGTCGCACTCGCCTTCGGCTCGTGCGTCAAAAGTCACATTCGTGAAAGAAGGTTCACTTTACACACTTGTTGCATAAATAACTATTTTCTACTACCGTGCGTAAAGTACTCACTTTACGCACTATTCAGAAGACGTAAAATTACACTTCACGCACTAGTGTGTAAAGTAATTCACTTCACACACTAGTGCGTAAAGTAATGTCAATGACAGATGTCATCACTGTCAATTTAGTATTTTTCTGGTAAATTACTTCACACACTAGTGCGTAAAGTGAAAATACTTCACGCACTGTGAAGTATTTATTCAAATCTATTTTTTTACACATATTTGCTTAGTAGTAGAAAAAATTTTGTATGCAATACGTGCGTAAAGCACCTTTTTTCACTCATGTGATTGTCGCACTCGCCTCCGGCTCGTGCGTCAAAATACACATTCATGAAAAAAGGTTCACTTTACACACTTGTTGCATAAATAACTAATTTTTGTACGCTCACAGACAAAAAAGTGACGTCACAGAAATTTCCAAGATTTTATCGCTTTGAACACCGTTTGCGGAAAAAATCGAATGTTTTATTCGGAGAAAAGCACTTTTTGTGGCTCGTCTAAAATTGTCGGCCCGGTTAAGTACTACATTCGGCAGTCAAACATTTAGTCTCGCCACAAAAAGTATCACTTTACTCCTAATAAAACAATATACTATTTATTCCACTTTTTTTGCCTTGTTCATGCATATTCCATGCTTTTTTTGTGAAAAATTACATGCTTTTTAAGCGCTTATTTTAACTTTTTTTATGCTTTTTAATCCAGACTCTACTCATAAGTAACAAAATAAAGACTTTGTTTTATTCAAGTGTAGAGTATATTAGCTTTGTTTTGGTTCAAAAAAAGGATGGTTCTACTGTGGTTCTACACCATTTCAACATCAATTTCGGAAAAAGTAACTTTTATTTAGGAAAATGTAAAGTCATTTTCGGAAAAAGTCAAATCAATTTCAGAAAAAGTAAAGTTAATTTCGGAAAAAGTAAATTCAAATTTGGAAAATGTAAATTCAAAATCGGAAAAAGTGAATTCAAATTCGGAAAAAATACATTCAACTACGGAAAAAGTAATGTTATTTTTTATAGAATAATTTGAATTGATTGAGTCATTTATCTATTTTGAAAATCAAAAAATTTGTCCATATTTCTCAAAGAGACCCGATTTTTAACCAATAAAAGAAAGAAAAAAATTACCAAGTCTACAGATTGTTTATTATTTCATTCACCTAATAGTGACATGTGTTTCGCTCATCTGAACATCATCAGACCTACAAAATAATATATGTAGAACCAATATATGTAGAACCAAATTAAAGTACAATGAGGGCGAATTCTCATGAGCGCAAGTTGACATTTCTGGCGTAATCACGTGATCAAATGGTTGGGTTTTATTGGAAAAATATTTGACATGTTGGAGATTTTACCAATCAAATTGCACCATATTATCACGTGATTACGCCAGAAATGTCAACTTACGCTCATGAGAATTCGCCCTGATTGGAATCGAACCCGTCAGGCTACGGGTTTGACTGGAGGTTTATAGTCAGTGCTAAATTAACTTTTTATCAATTCCAATTATTCTAAAAACTAACATTACTTTCTCCGTAATTGAATGTACTTTTTCCGAATTTGAATTTACTTTTTCCGAAATTAAATTTACTTTTTCTGAAATTGATTTGACTTTTTCCAAAAATGACTTTACATTTTCCTAAATAAAAGTTACTTTTTCCGAAATTTAGGTTGAAATGGTGTAGAACGGTTCAAAACAAACGCACAGTTCATCAATCAACAAAATGACAATGGCTCGGCTATCACAAATTTCAATAATAAACTGTGCGATTGTTTTGAACCATTCCAGAACCGTCCTTTTTCCGAACCAAAACAAAGCTATTGTTTGATCAAGAATTTCTCCAGTTACTTTTCACTTCAAATTTGCGAGTAAATTTGTCAAAAATTGTGATCTCCACCTTGTTTTCCACCAAAAATTATGTTTAGAAAATTACAGGAAATAGGTCCCTAGGTAGGTATA